ATGGATACATACATGCATATTTTATAATAATCACTGCATCATGAAGTAGTAATTTGAACCAAGGGCCTTCCACTCCTGGAGAAATACTGAGCTTTCAATTACAACGAGAGATGACCACACGGTATGGTAATGTAATGTCCTTTGCATCTTCCCCATTTATCATGGGAAACAGTATGAGCATAGTATCATACTATTGCAATACCTATAACATACTCTACAGTACACTGAGTGTGAGTATAGTCTCATAATATAGACCTAATTTGGGAATTACAGACTTAATTCGAATTAAGTCTGAAATACTGCTTTGTCTGTCAGTGGAAACAACCTATTCCAGGAAATATCCAGAAATGTATGCTTCAGAAACTATTAAGCTTAATAACTTAGCAATCCCTAAGCTTTAGGATCTTCCAGAATCAGGAAATAATTGAAGGCAGGTATTAAAAAGTAGATTTTGAAGTTTGTTATCAGTCGTTTTTGCATCCAGATGTTCCATACATCTTTCTAAGTAGCCTGTATCCAAGTTAAAAAAACCTTGGCATGTAATTTAAATTCATAATGTTCTTTTTCAAGTTACAATTTACTCAACATTAGAAAGGCTGTCTCTTACTGGTAGACATTCCACCTCAATTCAATTTCTTATTACACAAAACAATCTCACTGAGCCATTCCAATTGAAGCATTAATTGCTAGAAATTATACATGTAGTCACTGCATTAAAATCTGCCGCTGAGGTAACTCTTACCTGAACACAAGAAAACATCAATAAAGCTGCCAGAAACAAAACTAAAGCTCTGCCACAACTCACCCCCACACACACTACAGAGGAACATTTAGATTGCAATGCTTTCCAAAGCAATGTTGAACCAAGTCTTGGCCACAAGTTACTAGATCGAGAAGTTTTATTTCTCAGTGCAGACACTCCACACTGCCACAGCAATGGGTATAAATCCATGTTTAAAGTCCAATTCTTAATACCTAAGAATCTGATTATGAACTCACATAAACCTCACTTCTCAGTTAATACATTTAAGCAGCCAAAACAAGACTTGATATGGCATCATAGAAAATTTGGGTTGGAAAGGACCTTAAGATCACCTAGTTCCAACCCCCCTGCCATGGGCAGGGACACCTCACACTAAACCATGTCGCCCAAGACTCCATCCAACCTGGCCTTGGAAACTCATAGAAAGTACAGAATATTTGCAAAATGTTTTCCTTTGTAAAATGAAAACAGCAGCAAATAATCCAACCTTAAAAAAGCTTCAGTCCCATTGCTGTGTTACTGATGTGGGAAAAGCTTCACATGTTTGATGGCTGGTAAGAAGAGGACTACAGGAAGAGGCAGAGAACAGCAAACTGGAGAGTAACTGAGACTGAGCAGTTATGTTCTAACCTGTTTGACTGAACATTCCCTAAGTAATTGATGGTATTGAAGAGTAATTGATGCTATTGAGGAGTACTGAATTGCCAGCATACTGTTACTTTTCAATAAGCAGGAAAATATGTAAAAGCTTAAATTCTCCAGCTAGCAGTTTAATACAATTTCTTATCTTAATAGACTGAACTGTCAACCTAGAAGTTCTCTACTTATAAAAATAAGTAGAGAAAAATTCTCATTTAATTAAGAGAATGATGTTCCTGAAACTACCTAAAAGTGCTTCAATAAATCTAGCAAGACCTAGTATGATCTCCCTTATCCAAGCATTGCAAAAATAATCCTGGCCATGCTTCACACGTCATACTAGGCTTTCTCCTGTCCAGAGTGAGAAGATAAAAATGGGAGGTGTGTTAGCCTTCAGAGAAAGTTTATCACACCAAACAGAGCAGTGAGGTTAGAACTGTGATTATAAAGCTGGCTGGCTGTAGAGGCCTGAATTTTCCCTATCATCCAAACTGATGCTACAGCTATTAAAGAAACAAGGTTCAGAGAAAATAAGAAACTGTCATTCAGTGGGTTTAAAAACTTCATCGTGGTACTAAGAGTATGGTGAGGTCCCAGGAGGAATGGGACACACAAGTGAGACTGGTGACAGTGGAGTGGGAAAGCTAGTTATATTGAACTGGAAAAACATGAAGATGTTGCTGCTAGTGTGGTATGTTGTGACTTCTGCAGTGAAGGCCAAATCAAGCATCCAGAGTCAGCACCACAAGCACCCCAGAAAGGTGACAGAGGTAGTCTACCTCTGTGTACAGCTTTCCAAGACAGTTAAGTTCTGGACAGCTTCCCTATGGGATCCAAGCACAGGACAGCAATGTCACCTAGTTCTGTTGATCTTCAGCCCACATTAAATTGAAATTAATTATAGAATTAATGATTTCTAGCCTGTGACAGGAGATATTGCCTATAGAATTAACCCTCCCAATTTTTCAGAATGAAGTAAGTATACCCCTTTCCATTTTGATACTGTATTTTAGAAAACAACTTGATCCAGAAGACGAAGGAGAGAGATTAGGATAGACATGAGGCAGAATTAAGTTCATCATAGATGTTAAACTTATTGGTCCTAAAGATGACAGAAAAAAAGAGTGAAGGAAAAGAGAGGCTGTTTGTGACTCAATGATGGCCTCATTTTGTCACAAGATATAGTTAATAGTACTCTACAGAGGAAATAGGCAAGAAGTTTAAGCACTGAAAGCCCTGCATCATCTTTGAGATACTTAAAGCATTACAGAAGCAGATGGTTAAAGGCTTCCACCCAAAATATGTTTTGCTTCCTTCTCAACTTCCATGGTTTCACATTATTTCAATGAGTACAAAGCAAAGGCTTTAAGCCTAAGGCAATGAAAAGCTCCATGAATCCTCACAGACTTTTCAACCCTCACTGAAAAGGGTTGAAACCCTAACCCTAATTTTTCACCAGCCCACTGCAGCCTCCCACTTCTCAAACCTGTTATCTCAGAGGTCCTACCACTGTCACTGATGGCCTCAGCCTTGGCCATCAGTGGGTCCATCTTGGAGCCAGCTGGCATTGGCTCCATTGGACACAGGAAGCTTTTGGCATCTTCTCAGATAAGCCAACCCTGTAGCAACCCCCCAACACCACCTGGCCCACACAAACCCAATACAGTTCTGAAGGCTGCTCTGTAACCTCTCTGGATATTCCAGTCTCAGAGGCTCCAAAACTTAATGCTGCTTAAAACACCCGCAATCTCACTGGCCTTCTCATTCTATGGACACTTCTCAGTAAAGAGGGACACCTGCTCAGATATTCAGGTTGGCAAACCAGCACATAATACCAGATATGGCTAAACAGCAATTAGTAAGGAAAGGGCAAAAATAGTACTGACTCCTATCACATTATCTTAACCCTTAAGATAGTTAGGTCACTTTGATAATGCAGTACAAATGGGAAGTTAAAATACCATGCATTAAACTGACATACAATCATAGAATCACAGAATCCACTAAGGTGGAAAAGACCTTTAAGATCATCAAGTCCAACCATTACTAATGGTTCATGTCCTAGCAAAACTTTACTCCAATGAATCTCCATTTTAATAAAGGAGACAGGAAAATATGGTAATTTTAAAATGGACCAGCTAGCATTGCTTTATCAATTTCACCTTTAAATATGTTTATCTGATTTAAAAGATGTTGTTTGGAAGGTAACTGATCCATTTCTAGAGAACATTCTTTTTGGAAGTTATTTAAGCACAGCACTATTTTTCTTTACAGTGCTATTTTCTGACTATTCTCTCAGAAGTAAAGCAGACACCAGGATACAGATCCAACAGCTGTCATCTCCACGCCACTTTGACATACACATGCTATAAACAGCAGATATTAATATGAAGTTACTCAAATATGGTTTTTTTCTACCACATCACCATGTGTTCTATACTGTATGCCCTGGCAACAGATTGTTTAAGGAGGACTAATTCCTTTGAAAGCATTGTGAAATAACCACTTATTTGAGATACCCACCTTGACTTGTATACCCAGGGGACATTCAGATATATTTTTCAAGCAGTAGTTCTCAAAATAAACAAACTATTAATTTATTCTGAACTGTTCAAGTATGTGTATAAACGTTTGCACAAACATTAAACTTCTTTCAGCTGTTTAATATAGAAAATTACATTTCTGATAGAAAGGAAAAAGGCTGAGATTTGATTTAGAGGATGGGCTGGTTTTGGTGGGGGAGCAGTCAAGGAGGAGGAGAAGATTGTAAGTAGAAAAAAGGTTGAAAGAAAAAAGAAATCTAAGTAACAAAACTACTTTCTGGAACTCAGGAACTCCTTTTCCACAAGCCTGAATAACAGAGACGAAGTCCAGACAGACCTGGCTGCAAAGAGAGCACGCTAAAAGCTTTAAGCTATATAAAACATTAAAACCTTGTCCTTGAAAGTGCTATTTTTCTGTAAGAGTAAATCCATTTTTATGATGCCAATTTTGATTCAATGAGCTTTTTCCTTTATCTCACTGCTCTGTAATTTCAATTTAAATTAAATTTACCCTAACAATTCATAACTGTCTATAATTTTCAGTTGTGTACAATATAAAGTTATTTTGATATGGTTTTTCATTTTTAATACAATAAAATTAAGATAAATGTGTGGCTTATTGAGACACACTGCACACTTAAAACTTTAGGATCAGTTCTGAAGCTTTCATAAAAATATTTTAATTGTCTATCCATTGAGCAGTTCCATGACCACACAGATAGGTTAGGAAGAAAAGTAGAATATTACTGGTTTAGTTGAGAATTAAAAATTTATGTGATTTTTCACTTTTTTGTAAAAAATCTCAAAAATCAAAACCATGTTTAAGAGGTACGCAAATATATTGCCAAACACACAGTAAATGTCTTTATGATAGCATATATAACCTGAATTTGTATTAGTATAAAGCAAATCTAGTTATGAAAGGGTCATGAAAGATGACCACATTTGCCATAGATTAATTAGGTGCTAACTAAAGGTTCTACTAGTTGTAAAGTGGTTGTTTGGATCATCCCTCCAAAGTCATACACTTTATGCACAACAGCAGCTTGACTTACATATTCACCATAGGTCTCCTGTGCTGGAGGTGGTGGAAGGGGCCGGTAGCCTGCAGGTGGAGGTACTCCTCTTGCTCTGGGTGCTAGAAGCCCACGGCTACGACTGACTGGTCCTCTACTGGGAGGCACTCCTCTGGGTGCTGGTGCCCCTCTCGGTACTCCTGCTGGTGGCGGAGGCACTCCTCCACGGCCCCTGTGGATATATGGATCACTCACCATTAACCACTCCACCCTTCGCCTCCCTTTCAACAGATCCCTCCCCCACTTAATTTTGCTTTGCTACAGCCAGAAAAACTTTAAGAGATTTATAGTTTGTCATTTTTTCTGTGTGCTTTAATCCAATTACACATATTATGCAAAAAATGATAAAAGATACAAACTAGACGTGAATCTCTCACTAGCTTGAGCCATTCTGGCATACACAGAGCTATCCAAAACCAATTCACTGGAATCAGCCAACTTCACTAGAATTTGACTTCTACTATGTGAAATTACAGTTAGAGTAACAGGTTAATTTGAAGCTGTCAGGCTACATCATTCTCAAGCCCTGCACAAAGGAATCAGCTGCAACTGCCTTCTGATCTTGTGTAAGCTTCTAAATGCAATCCAAAGATCACACTGCATGCAAGAGATGGAGTGGGTCAGAAAAACTACATTTTCTTCTGGTTCTAAAGCACAGATTTCCAGCTGTTGCATGAAACATTCAAACACGTAACAAGCGTGCAGAGTGATTATAGAATATAACCTGATGCTTTATATGCGTTTAAGAACAAGAGATAACAGTATTTCTGGTCTTAAAGCTCTAAAAGAATGATAAGGGTTAACTTGCTTTGGACACTTAACATGAAAAATCTGAGGCCTAAACCAAAACAGTTTTAATCTTTAAGGTCCTTTCCAACCCAAACCATTCTACAATTCTCCCTGTAGTAAAGGGAGAGACTTAGAGGTACAGCCTGTGAGAAATATGCATAATTTATTAAGTCTCTTAAAAAAAAAAAATCTAAAGCCTTGCTAATAGGCACCTCTTTTTTAAAGGATATCATTTCACCCCATGGACTGTAATTGAGTTTAAATGACTGCTCTGGAGGCATATAGACTTGTTCCAAGGAAATCACACCCTTACTGAATATTCTAGCAGATACACAGAAGAAAACAAGCACAAGCTCTACACTACTTTTCTACCTATAAAGCCATCTAATTAATCTGAAGAGTAGTAACTGAGTAGAAATGCACTGATTTCACTAGAAATTTCCAATATATTACAAAGCAAGACCCAGATCTGGCCTTAAGATTTCCTATCCCATTGCAAGTAAATCCTATAATCTCATATGTAAACTTATGAGAAAAAAATATAATCATTTAATCACAAATAATTGAAAAATTGCATCACTAAATGATGAATGCAAAAACATAAACACTTGATACAATCAGGAGATTTTATTAATTCTAATCACTGATCAAAACACAGCCACAAAGTATTTTAAACAAGCCTAGAGAGTAAGTGATTTAAAACTATGCTTATTACTTGGTTTTGGCTAATCTGTAGAATGCTTCCTCAGGACAGGGTACCAGCTGCTTATTTGACTTCATTGCAGTGGGGGCAGGGGTGAGCAGTGAAGTTCCCAGAGACAGCCTGCTGAAGTAATATAAAGAAATAGCAAATGTGATACTTTCCAAGTGAAGCCAAAGAAAAGGAAATGAACCTACTGGCATAGACAATAGTCAATACCAAGTAAAAAAAAGTCAGTAAAAAAAGATTCAAGAACCACTAGCCATGATCTTCACAGCATCCTTCAGACAGGATGCAAGTGAAAGCAGCAGGAAACTGGACATGCTGAAAACCATGGAAAAACACTGGGGGGTGTGGGGAGGACATAGTACAGCTTTTAGAGCCAGCACAGATTTATTCTTGAAGAGTAATTAGAGCACCAGATCCATATAAGGTCTTATCTGCACTTCAAAAACAGTTAATAGGATTGGTGATAGGTCGAAAATACTATTTCTCCCATATTAGATTGTCTTCAAGAGTTACTGGAGGAAGAATTAACAATCTGAGATATATAGCTCTGCATTACACCACTCATGGTTACTGCACCAGGCTAAAGAGACAAGAAAGGTCCAGATACAGGAAACCCAGTAACAAGACAGTTCAATTACCACCACACAGATTTGAGTCTTAGCAGGGTATGATGTTAAGGGCAAAGTTTTAGAAACTGTAAATTATTATTTCATTAAGTTACCAGGGAACTAAAAGATGCTCAATTGACATGAACAATGAACAGAAACTGACTCAAAATGTCAAGGAATCACCTGAATAGGAACCTTTGCATACCTTTGCAAAAACAGATCAGTTCTGGTATTGCTTAATTTGGAAAAGGGCAGTTATATAAATTATGTTTGAAAAGATTTAAAAGTAAAATGGACATACACAATATGGAAAGCCATTTAGAGAAATATTATGGTAAGTCAGAGCAAATAAAAAGCAATACCAAAAAAGAAAAAGCTTGAGAAAGGGCAAAAGGACCTCAGTCAGGCCGGAACAGCAGGGTAAGGAAAAGTATTAAAGGAGATATCACTTGAAAAGCTGAGCCCATCTCTAACCTCAAAGGACAAATGCTAATAAAACAAGTGTAAGTACTCCAAAAAGCAGGTCAGAGCTAGTCTAAAGAATTTTTAAGAAGCCTAAAATAATAAAATACTTCAAGCATTCTGGAATCAGGAAACCTGCCAGAGTGAGGCCAAATCACCAGTGAAAACCACAGTAAGGTATGATTATTTGTATGTATGCATTAAGCTTTTTGCCATGCAATCAAGACACACTAGCTAAGGTCCTCACGGTAGAGCCTTTCCTGATGGGGAATGCATTGGATGGTGCTGCCAACTGTCTTGGAGAAAAAACAGAACAAAAGGAGCTTCCAGTTCAGTGTCCCCTGCAAACTTGCCAAGGGTACACTCTGCCCCATCTTCCAGATTAATAAAGTTAAACAGGAGAGGACCCAGTACTGATCTCCAGGGTACACTGCTTATTAATGGCCTTCAGCTGACTTTATACCATCCATCAGCACCCTCTGGGCCTAGACATTTGGCCAAATTTCAACGCACTTGTCTCCTCATCCAGCCCACACATCAACAGCTTCTCTGTGTTGGAACTAGATGATCTTAATGTCCTTTCCAAACTTAACTATTCTATGATTCTATGACCTTAGGGAGACATCCTTTCCGAAGGCACAGCAGACAGCGCTCACTGCCTCTTCCCCTACCTACCACACCAGTCACTTCATTATAGAATGCCATCATGTTGATCAAGCATGACTTCATCTTTGTGAATCCGTATTTATTCTTCCTGATGACCTTTATGTACCTGGAAATGGTTTCCAGGATTAGTTGTTCCATCACCTTCCCAGACATCATAGAACACCAGGTTGGAAGGGACCTCAAGGATCATCTGGCCCAACCTTTCTTGGCAAAAATCAAGGTGAGGGTCAGCAGCCTATACCTCAACAGGTCCTCCTTGCCATTTCTGAAGGCAGGTGTGACATTTACTTCTCCTTGGATCCTGACTTGGCTTTGCCAAACCTTTTTTGTGCTACACTATCTTCTGCAGTACACCACCTACATGTTCTCAAGAAGTTATTCGAAAAGAAACCAGTTGATTCCATATATATGACAGGAAAACATCTGGAAGCTGTGAACAGCACTGATCTACATTGCTTTGTGTTACTTCTGACATGTAAGATAGCAAATTCTACCCTAAAACTTCTGCAACAGTTTTAGTTTTCCACAGACAGCCTGACAGTCATTCAACCATTATGATCCCATCCATGCATACATTGAAATATGAATAAAAATATAGCAAAAAAGAAACTCCCATACTCATGCAAGCATAAACCAGAATTCTGCTGTTTCTTTAATTAGACTACTCCTACATGTTGGCTTTGAGAAATTGCTTTTTCCTCTCCTCATCTTAGTGAAATCAGTATCTGCTTTCAAACAATTCCTCTTAATCTGGGGAGTCAACCCAACCAGTTCTCCCTTATTACAGCGTTTCAATACTTAAGGGTGTGTGTATGCTTATAAGAAAGATGGATAATTTTAACTGTGCCCTCTAGTCAAAGGACAAGGTGCAACAGTTTTAAACTGCAAGAAGATAGATTTAGATTGGACATACAGGAAGAAGTTCTTCCTGTGAGGGTGCTGAGGTGCTGGCACAGGGTGCCCAGACAAGCTGTGGCTGCCCCATCCCTGTTCAAGGCCAGGTTGGACACAGGGGCTTGGACCAACCTGCTCTAGTGGAAGGTGTCCCTGCCTGGGGCTGGGGGTTAGAACTGGATGAGCTTTAAGGTCCCAATACAAACCATTCTATGATTCTAACTGTCTAACAGTGACACAAATTGGTTTTCTCTACCCCACCCCAAGGTAGCAAGCCATGTTCTTCACATTAGTATCATCCTCTAAAATTTTACTTTTCCAATACATCTTAGTTTGAGTCAGAATTGAGTGACCCTCTGATCGTATTTCTACTTGTTCTTAAAACAAAAATGTGACATTTTAGAGAGGAAACTATTCAGGTGTATATTAACATATGGTTATTTGCAGACTTAAGTAAGTAACTGGTATGATCCTTCATTTTATATAGTCACCTCCCAAATAAACATTTAACAAGATGAGTGATGAGGAAAGAATATTCCTAAAGGTAAAGCTGAAAACACAATCCTTCTACAGCAAATTCCATCTGCTCATCCCCCGAAATCTTACTTGGCTCCAGCATCAAAGCTTTAGTCAAGAAGTCCAGAACAAGCCAGAATAGGAAGTTACCAAGCCACAATCATTAGGAAATTGCTTATCATATGCAGTAATATCTGTGCACAAGCTAGAATTGTGTATGCAAGCAACATAAATGTATTGGTTTTTTACATATATTTTAGTATGGAGCTAACATATGTAACAAGTCTTAAAAGAAGGCACTTGAAAAGATGCATTATCTCCACAGTCAACATGTGTAATAAGGAGTAAAAAAAAAAAAAAAAAAGGTATAAATTAGTACTTTTAAGTGAAACTATTTTGGAAAAAAGGCTTAAAAACTGGGAACATAAACACTCAGATATCGCATCCTCAACAGGATCTTTCATTCATCAAGATTGATGTTTTGGAAATATTCTACAAAGGGAGGTTAGGATTGAGGTTCAACTTCATTTCACAAGTCTTCTCAGGCTTTGCTTCAACCTCTACTGGATCTCTCAAGCATGCCTGCTATGAAAACTGTTTTATTTAACACTAAGACAAAGCCTTTAACAAAGCTTTCCTGCAATGAAAGTATTACTGAAATCAATTTCTGCTAAAAAAGAATCAGAGCATTACAACTGAGCTCTTTAGCTCAATAGCTGTGGTCTCTCAGCAGCAATAGCACTGAATTTCACTTAAAGCCTATGCTAAAAGAAGGGAAATTGTTTGAGAGGAAATTCAGTTTCTGAGGGGAAGTTGCTGGAGTTTAAGACAAGTCAAATCAAGAACCTGCCAGGTTTCTTTAGAACATATATGAAAAATGGAGGTAACAAAAAACCAAACAACTTTTAGCTGTCATCTCCAAATCAAATACTAATAACACAAATTTACCCTGAAGACACTTCAATAGTTGTAGGCCAACCACAATGGATTGCGAGCTAGGTAACAGCATGTCTGTCTGGCATAAAATTACCAAAATCCAGAGGATGGAACTAGTGATGCTAAATTCAGTACTAAAAATTGATTATGTATGCACTGATAATAGTAGGCAGCAAGTTCTAGCAATGAGATAAGAACAATGACTTCAGCATTGCAGAAACACTAGCTTGACATAAAAAAAAAAAAAAAATGAAGAAAATACACAACTGCAAGTGTATCTGTACAGAGCATCTGTAGCAGAGCTGTTGCAGGCACCTATGGTGAAGCTGAAACAGGTATTTAAGAACTGAAGTAAAATTAGCAAATAAAATCTCAAAAATGGAGATCTTTAATTTGTGAACACTTTTGTCTGGCTGGTTTCAATGCTAAAGAAATGAACCTTGGTATATATTTATCACTACTCTGAACAATAAAAAATGAAGAAAATACACAACTGCAAGTGTATCTGTACAGAGCATCTGTAGCAGAGCTGTTACAGGCATCTATGGTGAAGCTGAAACAGGTATTTAAGAACTGAAGTAAAATTAGCAAATAAAATCTCAAAAATGGAGATCTTTAATTTGTGAACACTTTTGTCTGGCTGGTTTCAATGCTAAAGAAATGAATGGTATATATTTATCACTACTGAACAATATTAAAATCACAAAGAGGAACAGATACATCACACAATCTAAGAATAAAATCTGTCTATTTAGAGAAAATTATGTTCTTACAGGACACAACCAGAAGTGTAAATTCTCTAAGATTCGTTTTGCATTTCATTTGCAACTGTTACCAGGATACACTAAACTGTATAAATGGAGATCTGTATAAATGGATTAATTCCTCAGTGCTTTTTCTTCTAACATCCGAGTTAAAACATTTCAGAATATTACTCTGAAATTTTAAAAGCTGAAATAATTTTCAAGCTTTCATTAATAAGAACTATAACCACAACTAAAGGAAAATCGTGTACCATAGGGAACAGTTAAACTTTGCTGCTGCAGCTATAATTTCTCTGTACTGTAACAGAAACAGTTAAACACTTTATTTAGGTTTTGTTTTCACACTTCAGGGCTCGAAGGAGTTGAAGCTGTCATCTCAGTACTGCAAGGAAGATGGGGGATGCTAGGGTAAAAATAAAACATCTCCTGTGCCAAAGAAAAATAAAACAAAAGCAATAGACTTGCCTATTCCTGCAAACAAAAGCTGCTTTTTAATGAAGTAATGCCACTCAGATGAGAGACTAAAACCAAATTCTACCTCCAAAGCACTTATGTAACATTTCATTATGACCATGAAACTTAATAGAGTAAAAAAAGAATGTGTATATTTTGTGTATCTGAGAAATTGCTCTGAAATTCACGTCACTCAAGGCAAGACAGATTTACCAGTTTTCAAAGCTGTGAGCTCCACAGGGCCCATACACAGACCCTACATGCACCTACGGAGCAAAACCAAAGTTCAAGGCAAGCAGATGCTCACAGTAAGATTAAAAACCTTGTCTGATGTACATTAACACAGGTACTATTTAAATTTCATTAAAAAATCATTGCTAAGTCTAAATTATATCTTCAATGAATCAGGACTGATTCTGCTGTACTCTGGGAGGTGGGGTGGAAGGGGGTGTTGAAGGAAGAAGCTTAAAATGTACATCCAAATGAAATTCCACTGCAGCTAAGATACTTACCTGGACAAAGCAGGAACTGGTACTCCTCTTGCTCGAAGAGATGCTTTTCCACGAACTACTGGAACTTCTGCATTTTCTGAGCCACCATTTAAGTATGTTAACTCTTGAAGCTGTGCCTGTCTGATTTCATCATTGTAGTCCTAAAACACAAGGGGGGACAGCAGAAAGGGAAAATATCAGGAATGTTCTTTTCCACTGCATATTTCCTCTGTGTAGCTTTAGCCATTAAAATGTGAATGTTAAAATGCTGTAGATAGGGAGTAACAAAGAATAAAGCTTCCATATTCTGAGCCGAGATCTGGTTTGTAGTTCCAACTGCAGAATGATAGTGTGTTAAAATCAGGAAAAATCCCATTGCCTGGTGTTGCAGAATAAATAAGAATATACCCTTGAGAACGCTACCTCAGGAAGAAGGAATAGATTATAGGATCTACACTTAAAATCAAGAGTTAAAGTATAAACAAGTAAACTCACTCAATAGACCCATGCATGTAGTAAGACCTAAACCCATCAGTTCTAGAATATGCTATGGTAAAGAGGCTGAGGAAACATGGCTTGTCTCTTATTCTGCACAAACACTCCCAAGGTCTATCAAAAAGAAAGCTGAAGTTATTTACATGGAATACAGTACTTCTCAGATGCACAAGAGAATTCAGGGACCTTGAACCAGCCTCCAAAACAAACACATCACAGGAATAATAGAGACAGTAATGAACTCTTGAGCTACATGTTTTTCTATCATTTTTCCTACACTTACAGTGAGCCAAAGAATGCATCTGTAAAGCTGGATCAAGAAGTATTCTATGCAAAATGCATACATACAAACAAAGAATCAAAATGTTACTAGGTCCTCTAATAAGAATGAAGTGATGCTTCTGATATAGCAGCTCTTATTTCCTGTAAACCCTCCTGTTTCAAAGAAGGAAGGTTTGTCCAAATACCACCCATTTTACAATTCAATTACAAAATTAAACATCTGTATCTCACAGGAAATCTATGTTCATTATGTTTATGCACCAGACAGATACCAAGTGACCATCAGGTAGCCTTGGGGACAACTGAGTAACTGCAGAGAAAGGAGATTAAAACTTCCATGAATTCAAAGATCTCAATTATCCTTGAAACTAGACGTCTACAAACAGAAGTAAGGAATTTTTCCATTACATGCCATTGTTAAACATAGTTATTACTATGAGGGGAAAAAAAGCACTATAAAAGCATTTTGTCCAATCTGCCTCGACTATGTTCTGAAATTTAACTCACAACTGCCCATCTGAGATCATCCTCTATTTAGCAGCAGAAATCAACCAGCAAACAAGGCAAAGAGAAGTCTTTGAGACCAAATTAACTGTTTTAAACTGCATAATTGAAGCTTTTGAGAACCAGAACAGCTTAGACCCAATACACAACTGAGCCATCCTAGGGAGAATAGAAACAGGCAACTGAACACTATTCTGTGGAGCAACATGTAGTATAAAGTATACAGTATTAACATACAGGACAAATACTTTATATTTGTAACTTGTTGCTGGACCAGAACTGGCTACAAATGCAGATTTGTCTGTAACATATGAAATGAACTTCAATCTGGAAACAAAATGCTAATGAACTGTACCACAAACACACAGGTTACAGTTCTGACATGGCATATATCAGATGTCCTTTATGACTTTCTCCACAAGACATCCTCCTCAAACGGGCTTCTGAAAAAATACGTGTATCATTTACTACTAATTTACTTTCTTCAAAGACATGCTTAGGCTGCCACTGTGCATGTTGGATCCTTTTTTTCTCCCTGATGCTTTCTCATTTTCCTATAGCAAACTGTTAAACATACCAGCAGCCTCAGGTCACAGACAAGGACTCCACTGTGCAAAGGCAAAGAACAGAAAATATGGTCCTTATCACATGTGCCAGAGGCAGCAGGAGGATACAGAGTGAAGGAGCAGTAGAAGGAAGCCACGATAAGCAGCAGTGTTAATTGAAGAATCCATTTCAGAGTCTAATGGATTAACAGATGGTCAATTTATGAATACCCACTGCTGGAAAGCAGCACACTTCAAGTCAAATTAAGGAGACAATCTCTTCCTCGCCTAGAACAGAAGATAGACACAGAAACCCTTTAGACTATGCTCTTCCCCTGTACAGTTTCAGCAGAGGTGACACTAATTTCAGTCAAATGCTGCTGCTGAATTCCAAGTGAACAGATGTACTTTCATTCTGAGTATTGCCCATCCTGACTAATCTTCTCAGAGCACAAAGGATGTTTTCTACTCTAAGAATGACAATGCCATCAAGATACACGCAAGGTACTTTCTCCCTACATGGACACATAAATCCAACTAAGCAACAGTCTTACAGATTCATCTGCAATCTCCACCCAGCCCTGATCAATACACTAACTTAAGACCTTATTCTTATCAAAATATTAGTAAAGAGTTATTTAACATTCAGACAGACCTATGCAAAGCCCTCTGCGGTCTTGCAAAACACCCAAGCAGATCTTTATCCTGGCAGTGAGCAATAAACAGTTACCAGGTTTCCAGCAACCTTTATGCACACACACCCACCTCTTAGAAAGTTATTTGCCAGCTTGCTTAAAGGAAAGCATGTGAGTTTCTAAAGCCTACCAAGCTCTTCCAAATGCCATTAAACAGCTTCATCACCACAGTTTACAAACTGAACATGCAGGAGGCAAGGCAGACTACAGGAAAAGCTTAAATTCTGCTCTCATTGTAAATCTGCTACAGATTCTCTCAAAAATATTTCTATACTTGTCTTTAAAGTGAAGGAAAACAAACAACTGGTACCCAAAAGCAAAGCATAATTAATGGTGCAGCTGTCAGAAGAAGAATGATGCCACTACTCAAAAATCAAGCAGAATGAAGACCTATTGGCCAAAACTGCAGTAATCATAGTATAATACAGGACCCAGGGGGAGGTGATGGTCTTTTCATCCTAACTAGCAGAAGTAATACTAAGATAATATCACAGTCAAGACTGTTGACCAAAACAAAAGGGCTAATCTAACAGAGGATAAATTATACTTATATTCTGAAGCCACAATACTACCTGCTGCAACAGGTGAGAGTCAAGGCAATATAAGCACACCCAAAAAACCTCAAGCCAAGTTTCTGTATCTTGGTTTGAGCTATACCAACAGTTTAAAGGCAGGTACACCACTGCAGCTGACTGAGGCTGAACTTGAAGGTGCACATTATGGATCTAAAAAGATCTGAGAGGCTAAGGCATTTTTTGTAGTCAGCAATTACAAGGATATTTCATATTCTACATCCTAGCACCAACTGTGGTTCTATATTCTGGCCTGCTCTGCAAACTGCACTATGACCATACTCCTAAATCAGGTTAAGCATCAAAAGTTGTTGGAAGGCATAGTTATCTTACATTGTAAGGAGAACACAAATTATGACCATAATCTTATATACTGATAGCAAGACTTTTCTTGAAATAAGTGATAATTTAAGAAAGCCACAACAGACCTTATAAGAAATTACCTTAGCAGTAGTTCTATGGGAGGTGGGGGCAGAAGATATTAAGACAATGAAAGCTATTCTCAAGATTACAGTTGAGAAGCCATAAGAAAATTAAAAGTGTTAGCTTGATCCCATAGTTTAGAAAAGACTATGTAGCATCCATTCTGCTCAGTACAAGATGCACTGATCAAAAATTGAGATGAAAAGTACACAAGCAACGAATGGAATTACTCATCATAGTCACTCTGACTTAGCAGTAGAGTCATGGCTAGGTTTTGATATGCTTACTTCACTTATGACATTAGATGAATCAAGCTCAATGAACAAAATAAGACCTCTGATGAAAGGGCAGCAGGATCAGATTTATCCTTACTTCCAGTGCTTGCAAAAAGCATTTATCAAAATTGAGCATGTTCCCATCTAGAAAGAGAGCAGCTTTTTGCTCACTAGAATAGCCAAGTTAATTCTCCCTTATCTCTTCACACACTCAAGTTATAAACCATGTAAATACAGTAACCTGTGACATTATGACAGCCCAACATACCTACAAATACTCTGTAGAGTATTCCCAACCTGATCAGTTAGGATATGTGAACAGTAGTATATTTATTTACTTCTTCATATACATTTGGAACCTGCAAAGTTATAATGTGGTGCTTGCTTCTTTATAATATGAGACCATAATGCTCAGGATATGTCTTTGGTTTTACCTGTCTTACAGTGCATCTACATGAATGTGTTATTTCACATCAGCATATATTCCTAAATGAACCTCCTGATAACTGTTACTCACCAGGCTCTGGTTCATGTCAGGAAATATTGTTAGAGCACATGAAATAACTTTCATTCAGACAGAAACATGCCAAAATAAACACTGAAGGAGCAGAGTCAATTCCAGACACTTGGGCACTTAATGGATCGAGACTAGGTTTAGTACAAACCAAAATCCTGAAAATGCATACACAGTAGCACTGCCACATCATCCACACCAACTGGTTCACCCTGGAGTAGTACAGCCAGCAGTTCTTATCCACAACAGGCTATAGCAGCCATACAATAGACATCCCTGACTGGTGCTGAATACAGCCACACTGACTATACTCAAATATTTATCTGATGCTATCACTCAGACACACACCTCAGCAAAGTCTCCTCAGCTAGGCCTGCCACATTTCCAAGATGTGACATGAATCAAAACTAGCACCTGGATAACTTTTTCAGCAGTAAAAATAAACAGAAGCCAATGTACCTTGAAGATGCTTTGCTTTCTATATTAATTTGTTTCATAACCAATAAAAATAGAAGAATGTCCACTGTAGAGCTAATACAGACAAGCTTCACACACAGTGACACCATCTCAAATGCCCCAGCATAAGTTTATTATCAGAAAACAATCAAGGCTGGTCCTTACATGAAAAGCAAGGGAATCTTCTCTATAAAGATACTGGAAACCCTGCAACACATATCCCAAACCTGGAGTACAAACTTAGACTGGAAATCACATCTCATTTTATACACCCATACATTTCAAGTTGAGGTATACAGAAAACAAGTATAACCCATGTCTCACAAGCTTTGTGAAAAATATAAAGATAGAAGATAAAGTTACATTGATTCTCAGCACTGATCAGGATTATAGATGGGAGCAATAGTACAAATTTATTCTTAGTGAAATAGAATCCTAGGCTGATGCTTCAGGTGTCCCAAAACACAGAAAAAGACCTACCTTAAGCAAAGTTATTTTTCCATACTTAAGAGATTTTTACTATTATTTGTACACTTAAAGAAACGACCAGTTATGCAAGCATAAATTGCTTTTATAGGTCATACCATAGGAGTATGTAGACAGTTACCATTCACCCAGTAACTGCCTATATCAAAATAAGTATTTGTAAGCATCACTTTTCACAGGTGAATTATACAACATGACATGACCAGTATTGTTCAGTAAGTCAGTTTTAAAGACAATTTCTCACATTTGTATGAAAAAAATTACAATACTAACTGGGATGAGGAACTTCTTGATTTCTTCCAACGCATGTCCCATTCTGGCATATGCTTCTGCTGGTGGAGCAAATACTTCAATTAAAACATGCAGGTCATCATTTAGGTGGAAGTACTTTGCCTCTCCGCTTTTTCTCAGCTCTTCCTCCTAGGAGATAAGAAAAATGCTGGTGTTTTTTCCACCTCTACTTAAAGCATATTATAATGCAAGTGTTAAAGTGGCTTCAGAGGCATTTGCATGCACTGTTTACTCATGTTCAGATGTGAACTGAAAAGGATAAAAATCACATACTTCTGATAAGCTTCAAACCAATCTTGTTGCTAAAGTATCAGAATAGCATCAGTTTGCTTATCAACAGTAAGTGATAAACAACACAATAAGACCTATTGGCTTCTGCTCACATACAGAAACTGTAGCACAAAGGAGAATGAGCACCAGTTTCATCTAGAAGACAGAAATAAGTGAACTTGAAGCCTCTTTTCTCAAAAGTCTTCAGAAACAGGTTTGATCTAATATTCCACAAGAGCAAGATTCTTTTACTGATATTATTTCAATCACAGTATTATTGAACTATGCCTAGTTCTTGTTTTCTGTTCTCACTGGTATTTCTACCCCACGAGTACATCCTTCACAGAACTATGCTACTTCAACATGAAGCTAACAGCGTATGAGAAGGGAGAAGGACATTAGAGAAAAAGAGTTCACCAGCTATTTCAGAAGAGAGTTTACTTCTTTTTTTCTGCTTCACCCAACCCACTTCAATACAATTGAAAAGCTGTTTCAATGTAGTGGAGCAGAGCCCAGTTCCCAAATACTTGCATTCACATGCAAACAGACCCATGTCTGAAAGGTGCTTTCCAAGAGGCTAAACCAACATTAACAATAATTTAATTGTATTACTGAATATCACAACTACTAAGAATTTGATATAATGGTATCTTAAAAACAAAGCCCTAAGAAATCTCTCCTGTGGCTTATTGCATATGGGATGGACTGGGTAATCACTTCATTCTTTAGATTCCTAAAATTATAGTTCCAAAGATAGTGGGAATCTCCTTGCATGCACACTCCTTAATTGTGGGTTGAGGTGTGTGACAATCCATTGCTGATTGTCATAACATTCATGTCCTCATACTTGATGTTTGACTATGGGGATGTTTTAAAGCCCACAGAATGCAGTTAGCTGTTAAGAGGATCCATAACAGGAATATTAAGAGGTCAGAGTCAGCAAGATTAGACTCTGTCAAAAGCATTCTTGTCAATACAAACAACAAATAAGAGTGTAAGAAACAGAAGTAAACTAATGAAAACTATTACAGATCCTAAATATTTAGTTTTAATTGGAACTGTTTCTCACTTGAATATATACTTAAAGCACAGTTATTCAAGATACATGAACTAGCATCTAGCACCAGGAGCTATATGCTTTCATTAGTGAAGTTCTCCATATACTTTGGGTTTTAGTATATATATATAGATAGATAGATAAATATTCTATCAACCATTCCCTGTCCTTAAAGAAAGCACTGTGTAGTTGGATGTGCAGAGAACTTCTGTGTGTCACCCAACTTGCCAGCTAACAGCAATACGCAACAGAAAAGTCACAATTTCACAGAGTGTCTGGTAAAAAAGTATTTCAATCAGCAATTTTCACAAATAGATATTTCAGTGCAGGCTGTTCTAAAATCATTCCTGTAAACAAGCTCTTAAAGTAACTATCTTTTTTCTTTGCTTCGCTTGCTAAGTTCACTCTGAACCCCCCCCAGTTCTGTAACATGACTTGGCAACACACTCCACAGCAAAACAGCACACAAGAATGAGCTCACCCACTGGCCTACATCTCCCAGCCTTGGGCATACATAAGTATTTCAATACTTTTTTATTCCCCACAAAGCCACAGCTCATTCCCATTCCTGTTTCCCTCACTGACAGTATTTTTAGCTCCCACAAAAATCTTCTGCCTTCCATTATTTGATAGTACATACACCGGCTAGGCTGGGCCAAGTGCATGTGGATGCTGCTTGGCTGGCTAAACACAGCCTTGGGGTTTTTCCTCACTGCAACAGAGATTTGAGAACTGCTAAAAGAATGAAAACAAACCAGATGTGGAACAAGGGAGCTAAAAGACAGCAAGGTCGCCACTTTTAAGAAAATCTCTCCTTTTAATCTCTGTTTTCTCATATATAGTTTAGCACATCAAATGGTCATGGTTTGGGCAATCTGCTTTAACTTCATGTTTTCAAGAGACACTCCTGCACACCAGGAGCTTTATGAGAAAGCCTACCCTATTTGCTTTATACCTTGTGCTCTTGTATTTCATCCCTTCATGGTCCAGAACAACACAGAGCACTGGCACAGCTTATGACACATAGCAGCACAAGGCATGTGGCAACGTGCCTGAAGACAGTAAATATACTTCACCTTGTAGTAGTTTATTGCTCCTATACAGCCTTCTGCTTTTCATCCTACTTGTCAAGCTATTCAAGCAGCGGCTACCAACCCCTGAAGCCTACTGCTTTAAATTAGATGTTGAGCAGCAGTATTTATCAGAACCTGCTCATAGTACCATCCATCTTCATCTTTACTACATCACCAAAGAGCTGCAAAGTTTTTTCTGGTTGTATTTTACCTCCTTTCATCAGCTGTTTTCCTTTGCCTAGAAGCATTATCAAATGTTACGTTTAAATGTTGCGTAATGTGAACATGGGATTCCTTCAAAAAGTGGGAACACTGCCATGTTTGCTTGGGCATTACTCACTATAAGCTATACAAGACCAATGCCCCACTTAAATGCCCAAAGACCACAGTTTGGGATCCTGTACACAACTCGTGGTAGCCTTAAAATACTCAAGTGAGAACAGACTCAGGAGAAAAGACTCCATCTGAATCTAACCAACACGAGGATAACCTATGCTTTTTATTTGCTCCAATTTTTGTCAAGGGGTTTGTTCAGCTCCCCAGAAGTTTTAGTTAAGTTACAAAATTCAGGTATCAAACACTAACATACTCAGGTCTTACCTTTGTCTTGTCCCTCATAGAACCTTTGCCCAAAATAGACATTTTTGTCAGTGTTTCTTCCTGTAGACGCTTTAGAGAATTGCCACGTGGACCCAAAAGCTTTCCAACAAAGTTGAACTGTAAGAAAACAAAAACTCATTAAGCTCATTGGACTTCTAAGCTTAAATGAATAAGCATAATGGAATATTTTACTGAAACAACTTTCTTCTAGGTGCAAACAAGTATTAGATCATAAATTACAGTCATTAACTACAACTCTGTATGACATTTAACAGCATGTGAGCTGCTCCACCAGGTGTCAACAGAAACACAAGTACCTGAACTCAAAGAAATCAGGTACTTTAAAGGAGAACTTTGTTTATCCCACTCAACACTGAGAACAGATGTGCTCAAACTGCAATTCAGTTTTTCAACAATTGTTACCAGGTACATAACCATAAAAACAAAGCTGGCAGCGATCTCACAGATACAATAGCAAAGCTCTCAAGAAAAATAATATCTTGATTGCCTTATCTTCCCTTGAAGGTTTATGAAGTAATCCATACAATACACCCTACTCTAAAAGCCAGAAACAATCAAGGTATTAAATTCACAGAATAGCATATAAATCCAGTCCCAAAGTAGGATCAACCCCTATTATCACTAAAGTTTACCAAAGCCAGTTGGGATTTATAACCATGGTATTACACAACTAAGACAACCGGGGAGCAGAAAGTGGTGAGCCTCAAAAAAATCAGGAAGACAAGGAAAACACAACCATTACAATTGACAGGAACACCAAAAACTGGTGCTCTTTCAGCCCAGAAGATGCTTCAGAATGGAAGTAGGCTAAAAAAGAAAACAGGTATCAAAATATGCATTCCAAAAAGGAAAGCAGATATGAGAACGTCTGTTGTCAGTTCAAGAACACAAAACTGGACATAGGAAAGCCAGGAGATGTGTAAGTTCTCACAAGCACTGCTCCATAGGGCATATATTCCCAGTCACGCATATGGGGAAAAAGCTGTGTACAAGAAGGAGTCCACTTCTGTGTATCATTGCACTGTATTTTGGAAGGTAAATGAAATTTGAAGGATGGCGACAGAGAAGACTTGAGGACTCATTTAAACTACGCAGAGAACCACAACATCTGTGTGGTTTCTAGTTGATGGCTTGGCTTAAACCACAACAACCTGTGACCCTCTGGGGGAACCACACTGAAGCAGTCTGTTCCACTGAGTACAATCCTTCAGGAAAGAACCCACACTGGAGCAGTTTGAACAACTGTTTGCACAACTGGAATTCCTACAGGAGGAATCCCAGGCAGGAACAGAAGACCATGAGGAGGATGGAGCAACAGAGGTGAAGTGTTGAGCCAACAACCCCCATTCCCTGTCCCCCTGTGCCACTTGGGTAGTAGAATCAGTTGAAGTTGAGCATGGTAGGGAAGTGATTTTTAGCTTCATTTTATTTCTCTCTATCCTTCTGTTAAAATTAATTAGCAATAAATTAATCTTCAAGTCAAGTCTGTTTTGCCTGTGACTAATTGATTAGTGATCTCCCTTGTCCTTATTTCTACCCACAAGCTCTTCATCTTTCTCCCCCTTATCTGGTTGAGGAAGGGGAGTGATAGAACAGCTTGATCAGTACCTGGCAGCCAGCAAAAATCATCCCACCACAAGTCCTGTCAAAATAGTAAGGCAATAGAGTTTATTTATCAACAAAGTACTGTTCAGGAATATTTACTACCCCCAATGAAGCCGTAAAACCAGGATGCTCATACTATTGGAATCTAAAATGACACAATCATGTAAAAAAGATAGTTTGAGGCACAAGTAAAACAGTGATGCTAAAGAATAAACAGACTTAAACTACTTGTTTCTGGCATCAAATTTATTAAAGTTTGTAAGTTTTGACTGTTCCTCTACTACTGTGCCACTGAAGGGCCATCATGGGCTTCTCAGATCTCCCTATTCCTCTGGAGGAATCTCAAAACACTTGGCAATGGGGTAGAACAGCTCAAAATCCTTTGTTGAGATATTGGAAGTGCTGATGGAAAAAAAGGCCCAGCTAACAGTCCTCTACAACACAAAGTCGACAGCTCCAGTTCATCTAATTCAGCTTTAGATGAAAAAGAAATACAAGCACTGAAAGCCTGCTAAGTATGAGAACATGATTTTTATCTCCCTTAGTACCTGCAAGTTCAGTCCCCAATGTATACTAGGGTTGGAACCAAGATGCAATTGAGCAAATTGCTTATGGATCATTAGTCCACAGAAGTCACTAAATTTAAGGCCTTGGTTTTCTGAAGTTAACAGGCAAATTCTCATTAAATCTGTAGGTAATTCTCTTTAAGTCTGCTTTATTAGGTATATTCCTTTTTTCCTCCTAAGTCCTAGGATGCAGTCAAGGAAAACATTCACCAGAAACAGGCTGCCCAGCAAAATGGCAGAAATCTCCCTTGCTGAGATTATTCCACCCTCTGAGCCATTGACAGGGTACTGTGTAAACTAATTTACAGCCATGATCACAACAGAAGGTTGGACCAGATATTCCCAAAGGTCCCTTACACCTTGGACTTCCGAGTTGATTATTTCTGGAGGTATAGCTGCAAGGAAAGCAAACAAATTGAAACAATTCATAACAAGACTGAACTTCCAGAAGTCAGTAACTCCTTGACAACAGTTTCCTGAAATAAAGGATCCTAATTATGAGCTCCCTGTTCATAAGTAAAGCTCAAATGAAAGCTTTCATATAGTGGAATACCACATCAATTTTTCATGCATTACTTAAGATTACTTATGTTTACTTTAAAATAGCCTTGTAAGTTATTAGGAGCAAAACCAAACACTGCATCCATTTAAAATGAGAGATTTTCCCATTTACAGTGAAGTATACTGAAATTACTTCAGAAGGTTGAGTACCTGCAGCCTGATACAGCCTAACTTTCTAGCAGGAATCTCAGTTAAAATATCCAGGTGAAATTCTGTTCAATTTTTGACTGCAATTTAGGAGTAGGCAAGCATATATTTAACAATACAATGCTTAGAACATCACTTCCTAACTGGAACAAAACTACCTAACAATTAAAATATAAACTATAAATCACAACAAATGGAAGTGCATACCTTCAACAAAAGTGAAATCCACTTTGTATGTAACCAAAGTAGCTAAAAGGCTTCAGTGCTCAGAGACAACTTGGGCGTTCCAAAGCATATTGTCTACCCCAGCTGTATTATTTTCATTAAAGCCAAGTGTCTAGTGTGTTGTGCATATCTAAAACATGACCTACAAAACTAATACTACCAAGAGCTGTCTTCTCAAAACCAATATTTAGTGTTGAAGCTGGATGTTATGGTAGCTATACAAGTATATATACAAGTAGCTATACAAGCCACAGAGATGACATGTTCTAGACAACATTTAATGAACATGATTAGCTGTACCCTGAGATCCTCTGAACTATTCTTTTCAGCCACTGAGGCTCCAAATATTAGATTTGACAAATCCAAAGTATGAGAAACCTGTGTTGCAAGCCTGAAATTCTGCTGATTTGAAGATGCAGTACCTCAAGGTATAGCTTAATACCACAAGGAACATTAGGGGTTACTAAGAAATGCCTTACAGTGCAGTCTCAAACCCTTTTTTGCTCCAACATAACAAAGCCGAAAAGTTCTGGAACATTTCAGTTGATTATTGCACAAGTAAAGCTCACTTATGATATTGCATGAATCATTTCAGTAGAAATTTACTTTGAACAGGTACTGATTTAATTCAAACTATTGGTTTATCTCCCTTTTACATCAAACTGGAAGCATCTGATCAAAGGTTTACTTTGAAATATTTCATGCAGAAACACTCAAAAAGTATCAGTCACTAAGCTACCATCATTAATACACTTTACACCAGCATTCAAGGAGTAGGAGTCAAACCTAAAGGTACAAAGTCACCACAAAGACAAGTTTTCACTACAAAACTAACAAACTCAGCCTATCTGCTAGTGAAACAAGCAAATAAGCCTGGCAGATCCAAGTTACCTCTTACACAAGATGCTCACATACATGTGTCATGGGTGTTTTCCATTTAGAGTTTATTTGCTCAAACACACAAGAACAAAAAAACAAATTCAGGTGTAGTATTGAACTCAAGCTTGTAAACTCTCTCTGAATTAGAGGCACTGGATACTAACAAGAAGACATCTACACAGCTCTGTATAAGTCAGATCAGTCACATTCACTAGGTCTTGCTCAGTATCAGACATGCCAGACCCCCCACTTCACTCACTCTTCTCCCTAGTACAGCATAATCATATTCAAACTGCTATAAATACCCCAAACTGTCCTCAAGTTCACTAGCTTCAGCTTCAGATTGTATTAAAGCAGTCACACTGCCTTCCAGCACAAGCTGGTCTGGAAGATATTGCCATATTCACAGTTCTACAGGATAGATGAACTCTGAAGAGCCAGCCATGAATGTTATTCTACCCTGGATGAACCACCTATATAAACTCAAGGATTGTTTCTACATTAAGACAGCTTCTGATATCTTAAGAATAAGGATATTATGGATGATGGTATATAAACCAAGATAAAGTCCACAACCCAAAGCTGCTTCTGGACCAGCTCTGAAGCATACGCTGAAGAAGTACCTTAAATGAATCAACAGAATGGTTTGTGTTGGGACCTTAAAGCTCATCCAGTTCCAAGCCCCTGCCACGGGCAGGGACACCTTCCACTAGATCAGGTTGCTCCAAGCCCCTGTGTCCAACCTAGCCTTGAACACTGCCAGGGATGGGGCAGCCATAGCTTCACTAGGCAACTTGCACCAGTGTCTCACCACCCTCACAGTAAGGATTTTTTCCCTAGTATCTTAATAATTAATGCTGTAACATCAAAATTACAAGACATTTTAAAGGAATCTTTGCAAAAAAAGCATCAAGATTCAGATTAACAGACCTGGGAGGAGGCAACTGGAGAAGACAGGAAAAACTGCTACTTCAGCTCCCGTTCAAGCCAAGTAACACTCCAGCAGTGATAAATGGTTCCCTCTGTAGTCTTACATTATTATAAAGTATCACCAAATATACATTAGTTTGAGCAAAAGGATGCAAGATTTTAGGGGTGTTATTTCCGAAAACC